AGAATAAAATACCTAGGAATTCAACTTACAAGGGATGTGAAGACCTCTTCAAGGAGAAGTACAAACCACTGCTAAACAAAATAAAAGAGGACACAAACAAATGGAAGAACATTCCATGCTCATGGATAGGAAGAATCAATATCGTGAAAATGGCCATACTGCCCAAGGTAAGTTATGGATTCAGTGCCATCCCCATCAAGCTACCAATGACTTTCTTCATAGAATTGGAAAAAACTACTTTAAAGCTCATATGGAACCAGAAAAGAGCCTGCATTGCCCAGAGAATCCTAAGCAAAAAGAACAAAGCTAGAGGCATTACGCTACCTGACTTCAAACTATACTACAAGGCTACAGTAACCAAAACAGCATGGTACTGGTACCAAAACAGAGATATAGACGAATGGAACAGAACAGAGCCCTCAAAAATAATACCACACATCTACAACCATCTGATCTTTGACAAACCTGAGAAAAACAAGAAATGGGGAAAGGATTCTCTATTTAATAAATGGTGCTGGGAAAACTGGCTAGCCATAAGTAGAAAGCTGAAACTGTATCCTTTCCTTACACCTTATACAAAAATTAACTCAAGATGGATTAAAGACTTAAATGTTAGACCTAAAACCATAAAAACCCTAGAAGAAAACCTAGGCAATACCATTCAGGACATAGGCATGGGCAAGGACTTCATGTCTAAAACACCAAAAGCAATGGCAACAAAAGCCAAAATTGACAAATGGGATCTAATTCAACTAAAGAGCTTCTGCACAGCAAAAGAAACTACCATCAGAGTGAACAGGCAACCTACAGAATGGAAAAAATTTTTGCAATCTACTCATCTGAGAAAGGGCTAATATCCAGAGCCTACAAAGAACTCGAACAAATTTACAAGCAAAAAACCCCATCAAAAAGTGGGTGAAGGATATGAACAGACACTTCTCAAAAGAAGACATTTATGCAGCCAACAGACACATGAAAAAATGCTCATCATCACTGGCCATCAGAGAAATGCAAATGCAAATGCAAATCAAAACCACAATGATATACCAGTTAGAATGACAATCATTAAAATGTCAGGAAACAACAGGTGCTGGAGAGGATGTGGAGAAACAGCAACACTTTTACACTGTTGGTGGGACTGTAAACTAGTTCAACCATTGTGGAAGACAGTATGGTGATTCCTCAAGGATCTAGAACTAGAAATACCATTTGAACCAGCCATCCCATTACTGGGTATATACCCAAAGGATTATAAATCATGCTGCTATAAAGACACATGCACACGTATGTTTATTGTGGCACTAGTCACAATAGCAAATACTTGGAATCAACCCAAATGTCCGTCAATGATAGACTGGATTAAGAAAATGTGGCACATATACACCATGGAATACTATGCAGCCATAAAAAAGGATGAGTTCATGTCCTTTGTAGGGACATGGATGAAGCTGGAAACCATTCTCAGCAAACTATCGCAAGGACAAAAAACCAAACACCCGATGTTCTCACTCATAGGTGGGAATTGAACAATGAGATCACATGGACTCAGGAAGGGGAACATCACACACTGGGGCCTGTCGTGGGGTCGGGGGAGCGGGAAGGGATGGCATTAGGAGATATACTTAATGTAAATGACGCGTTAATGGGTACAGCACACCAACATGGCACATGTATACATATGTAACCTGCACGTTTTGCACATGTACCCTAGAACTTAAAGTATAAATAAATAAATAAATAATAAATAAATAAAAATAAGTCTTATATGGACATATTCTTTTATTTCTCTTGGGTAAATGCCCAATAGTAAAACAGCTGGATTTTGTGGTAATCTTAAAAAAGTCTACTATTTTTCAAAGTAGTTGTAGTATTTTCTGATTTTATTTAATTTACAAATCTATATCTTAAATGACAAATAAAAATTGTATACATTTATGATGTACAGTGTGATGTTTTGATATATGTATGGATTGTGGAGTGATTACATCAAGCTTGTTAACATATCTATCACTTCACATGCTTTTTTTTGTGGTAAGAGCAGTTAAAATCTCTTTCAGCAATTTCAAGTTTATATTATTATTAACTATAGTCTCCATGTTGTGTAATCGTTCTCCAAAATTTATTTCTCCTGTCTAACTGAAACTTTACACTCTTTGACCAACATCTCCATATTGTCCCCACATTCGCAAGCCCCTGGTAACCATCTTTCAATTCTCTGCTTCTATGAGTTCAACTCTTTTAGATTCCACATATAAGTAAGAGCATACAGTATTTGTCTTTCTGTGCATGGCTTACTGCACTTAGCATAATATTCTCCAGGTTTATCTACGTTGTCACAAATGGTTAGGTTTCCTTTTTTAAGGCTGAATACTATTCCATTGTGTATATATATTACATTTTATTTATTCCCATTAATAGACACTTAGGTGGATTCTATGTCTTGAAATTGTGAATAATCTGCAATGAACATAGAAGTACAGATATCTCACTGACTTACTGATTTCATTTCCTTTGGATACATACCTGGAAGTAGGATTGCTGGATCATATGGTTGTTTTATTTTCAATTTGTTGACGAACATCTATTCTGTTTCCTCCAGTGATCATGGGTTATACTATTTTATAATTCTGCCATCAAGTGTATGAGAGTTCCAGTTTTTCTATGGTCAATTTCTATTTATTTGTTTGTTTATTAATATTTAAAATTTTATCCATTTACACAGGTATGAAGGGGCATCTTATTGTGGTTCCCATTTCCATTTCCATAATGACTAATGATGTTGAGACTCTTGTGTTTATTTGCCACTCATTATCTTTTTTGCTGAAGTGTCTGTTCAAATCTTTTGTCCTTTAAAAAATTGTGTTATTTGTTTTGAATATAGTGATTCAATTTGTTTTGAATCATTATGTATTCTGGATACTAGTTTTTTTTTAATCATAGAAATCATTTGGAAATATATCCTTCCATCCTGTGGCTTATTTTCTCATTCTGTTAGCAGTATCTTTTGAAGAACAGTACATTTAATTTTGATAAGGTCCAATTTGTCAGTTTGTTCTTTCATAGATTATTTTTGTTATATCTAAAAAATCTGCCTATCATAAGGTCACAAAAGTTATTCTCCTATTTTAAAAAGAAGTTTTGACATTTTATTTTCAGTTAAGTCAATGATTCATTTTAAATTAATTTTTGCATGTGGCACAAGGGGCAGATTCAAGTTTCTTTTTTGCATTTGGATATGCAGTTGCTCCAGCATTGTGTTTGAAAAGATTATCCTTTCTCTATTGGATCTTCTTTGCATCCTTGTGGAAAACATTTGCTCATGTATGTGTGGGTCTCTCTTTCTTTCTCTCTCTCTTTCTCTCTCTCTCTCTCTCTCTCTTTCTTTTTTTTGAGACACAGTCTCGCTCTGTCGCCCAGGCTGGAGTGTAATGGCACAATCTCAGCTCACTGCAACCTCCGCCTCCTGGGTTCAAGTGATTCTCCTGCCTCAGCCTCCTGAGTAGCTGGGATTACAGGCACATGTCACCATGCCCGGCTAGTTTTTTTTTTTGTTTGTTTGTTTGTTTTGTATTTTTAGTAAAGATGGTGTTTCACCATTGGCCAGGCTGGTCTTGAACTCCTGACCTCAGATGATCCTCCCGCCTCCGCCTCCCAAAGTGCTGGGATTACAGGCACGAGCCACTGAGCCCGGCCAGGTCTATTTCTTCATTGATCTACTGGTATATGTTACAAGTACTACATTTACTTGATTACTTACAATAAGTCTTGAATCAAATAGTGTTAACCCTGCAACTTGTTTGTTCTTTTTTAAAGTTGCTATTGTTTCTTGCCACTGAGCTTAAAAAAAAACATTGCTGTTGACTATTTTAGGTTCTTTGCATTTTCATGTGTGTTTTGTCAATTTCTACAAAAGTCCTCCTGGAATTTTAATTGGAATTTGCTGTAATCTGTAGAATAATTTGGGAAGAAATGACATCTTTAAAATATTGAGTAATATTTTATATAATACTGGCCAATTAATATATCTATTTATTTTGTTTTTTCTTTATTTTTTTCTCAACAATGTTTTGAGATTTCTATTTATAAGTTTTCCACATCTTTTATGTAAATTATCCCTATTTCATATATTTTTATGTTATCATTAGTGACATTTAAAACATTCAGTTTCCAATAACTTATTGCTAGTATATAGAAATTCAGTTGATTTTATATGCTGATCTTGTATCCCAAAATCTTGCTAAGCTTACTTATTAGTACAAGTAACTTTTATTCTCGATTCCATCATATTTCTATACAAATAATCATATTCTCTGTGAATAAAGACAGTTTTATTCCTTCTTTTCTGATTCCTGTGGGTTTTTTTTTTTTTTTAATTGTACTAGCTGAAACCTCCAGGACAAAGTTGAATAGAAGTGGTGAGAGTGGAAATTCTTGTCCTGTTCTGGTCTTTTATCTTCCAGTATAATACATTTTCATAGGTGCTTTCTTTAGGTTGAAAAAATTCTCTTTAGTTTCTCCTTCACTGAGTCATTTTATGAGGAATGGATGTTGGATTTTGCCAGATGGTTTGTTTTACCTATTTTATGTGTCTATTATGTACACGTTGAAGAATTTCTGGGTTTTTTGTTTTGTTTTGTTTTGTTTTTTGAGGCGGAATCTTGTTCTGTCGCCCAGACGAGTACAGTGGCTCAATCTCGGCTCACTGCAAGTTCCGCCTCCTGGGTTCATGCCATTCTCCTGCCTCAGCCTCTCAAGTAGATGGGACTACAGGCGCCCCCAACCACGCCCAGCTAATTTTTTGTATTTTTAGTAGAGATGGGGTTTCACCGTGTTAGCCAGGATGGTCTGGAACTCCTGACCTCGTGATCCTCCTGCCTCGGCCTCCCAAAGTGCTGGGATTACAGGTGTGGGCCACCATGCCCGGCCCTGAAGAATTTCTTTTAGCATTTCTTGTGTAGATCTCCCAGAAAAAAAATCTGGTTTGGGGAGAAGGGTATGAACATGTCTTTATTTTTCATTTTTGTAGGATATAGGACTATGCTACAATTTTATGTAGAATCTATTTAGAATCCTATACAGAATTCCAGACTAACATGTTTTACTTTCAGCTCTTTAAAGATGTCATTCTATTGTTTTGGCCTTCATTGTTTCTGAAGAGAAATCAGACAATTTTATCATTGTTTTCGTCTGTGTAATGTTTCTTTTTTCTCTGACTGCTTTTAAGATTTTTGTGTCGTCTTTGGCTATCTACAGAGTGAATATGGTGTGCCTAGTTCTGTTTTTGTGTTTATCCTTTTTTGGGATTACTATGATTCTTGATGCTGAAGTTGGATATTTTTAATCGATTTTGAGAAATTCTTGGTCATTATGTTTTCAAGTATTTCTTCTGACCCATTTTCTATCTCTCACGGATGCAATTACATATTTACTAGACTACTTAATATTGTCCTAGAGATCATAGACTCAAGTTTTTTACTCATTCCCCCTTTTATTTATTTATTTTTGATAATTGACCTGTCCTCAGGTTTATTGCTTCTTTTTGCTGCTGTTAATAGGCTACTGTTGTGTTTCGTGGCCTCTTAGGCTCCTAATATGTATTCACTTTTAATGATAGTGTATTTAAAAAATTTTTGACATTTCAGTTTGCTTTCTTTTTATACTTTTCATTACTCTGCTGAAATTCTCTGTATATTCATGCATGTATATCCACCTTTTCCACTGAATTATTTGACATATTTATCATAGTTATGCTGAAGTTACCCCCTGATAAATCTAACATCTGTACCTTCTAGAGTCTCAGCCTGTTGACTGTTTTCTCATTTGATTATTGTTCACATTTTTTTCTTTTTGTGTGTCTCAAAATTTCTTACTGTATGTTGGACATTGTGAGAAAAAAGTAGAGATTGAGAAAATTAATATTTTTTTTTTACCCTAGAAAAGTGCATACTTTTTTTTTGTTAGGCCTTGGCTTGGGAAAGTTGAGGAAATCTGTTGTATATTTGAGGTATGTGGGTTTTATTTCAGCTTTAGTTGGATTAGTTTACGACTGACTTCAAATGTTTTGAAAACAAAATAAGGTCTTTTCTGTCACTAGGGCTTGTGATCTGAGCATTGGCAAGATTTCAGAGATCTCTGTATGCTCACAGACTGTTTTGGTTGCTAGGGAGTTCTTTTTCCTTCCCTGTTTCCGACTTTATTAATCTCAGGAGGTCTCTCTTCTTTTTGCTCTGCTAGTTCAAGCCTTTGGCATCCAGTGCTTTGTACTTAATGAAAGTTCACAACACTCTGAGGAACTGTTCTCAGTTCTTCTGCCTTATTTCTGGCCTCAGTTGCAACTGTTTTGACCTAGTGAAGGCCTAGTCTTTCTCAGACAGATTTCTTTTAACTCTTCTGCCCTGACTCCAGTCTTCACTGGGATGCTGCCTTGCACTTAGGGAAGGTTCACATGCCTCAAGGATCTCTCTGTCAGATTTCTTGACTTTCCCTCAGTCTTCAGGATAGTCCTCCTATGTGCCTGGTGAAGACCTGTGGTAAAGTGCTGGCAGGTGAGTACAGCTTGAGGGTGTGGATGGGTTCCTTGGGACTCCAGCATGTCAAGCCAGTTCACACACAGGTCTTAATAGTTGTTTAGGATTCATGTAGTTTCTCATTTTCTTTTCTATGGTAGATTCTGTTTCCTGCTACTCCACCAGGGATGAAAAATTCACTGGTCTCATCTTTTATAGAACGGGATCATAACTATATAGATTTTAGTTAAGTTAGCTTTATTAGTGTTCTCAGCTTTCTTAAGGGGATAAAAAGCAATGATTTTATGGATTATCTGACTTTTCCTTTAGTATTAGGTTTGCCCAATCATCTCCACGATTTCTAAATTCCAAACTTCTTGAATAAATAAATGTTAAAAGAAAACATTGTACTAAAGTCAAAAGAAGTGTTTTAAAGCATAGTTCTACTTTTTACTGTCTGTGTATGCTTGGATAAACTACTCCTCCGAAATTGTATTGCTTGCTTTTTCAGCTTGTTGAGTCTTTCATAAATTTAAGGGTTGGAATATGTCTCTCAGACAGAAAGTGATAGAGCTTTGCAAGTCTTCAGATGTATTCAAGTTTGGTAAACACTGGGGTAGGCCATGGATAAAAGATTGGTCTTTGTGTGTTCATAAGAAAACCTGGATAGGAAGCTCTTCTTCTTACACAAAGCCTCGATTGAGAAGTAAAGCTGGGACTATTAGTCCATGTTCTGCATTGAAATAATGGTAGCCATGCCTAGATTGATTTAAGATACCTGTCTTCACACAGTTAATAGTCACATCAAGGGAAAGAGCAACAGGCAGAACTCTTGGCTTTGTGTAAGAGCCCGAGGAAAGGGCCTGAGAGGGTACACACTTACTGTCTCAAAGTGCAGTGTTAATGTGAGGTGTTGGGGAAGAGGTCTTGGGTATGTGTGTGTCTGTATAATATATGTGTGGAAACTCTCAGTGCTGGTCCTTTGAGATATGTCTGTAAAAACTTTCAATTAACAAAAATAACCCACATTAATTGAATACTTTTTATGTGCCAGTCACTGTTCCAAGTTCTCTACAAAAGGTAATTCTTTAGTCCTTATAGTAGTACTGTAGTGGTGCTGATACTATTTTTATCTTCATTTTTCAGATGAGGAAGCTAAATCACGTAAAAATTAAGAAACAGCTCAGCGTTTCACAGCTAGTAAGTAACAGAGATGGGCTTGAGACCCAGATTGGCAGGATCAACGTCTTGAGCTCGTAATGACTCTGCTATGGTGCCTCCCTTGAAAGCGTCTTCGTGCTTTCATTGTTGTTTTTGTTATTGTTATTCTGACTATTATTTAGTACCTCCTTGGTGGATAGTGGCTGTGAATTTGTAGTTGTTGGTGTGTTTCTTCTGGAGCTTAAGCTCCTGCCTCCTCTATTGTTGAGTTTTTGTTACCTTTGAAATAATTGCTGAATCAACAAAATATCTGTTACATTGCTGCTGCTCGAATGGCTATCTTTTAGAATTAGCACTCTTCTTTCTGAATCTGACGCCACAGCCTTTTGAACTTAAGGTATTTGGATGTGTCAGTAAAGGGGCTGTGGTAGCTGTAGTAACAGCAGCTCCAATGGTGGTGACCATAGAGAATATGGAAGAGCTGTGAATGAGATGAAGACATTTAGTGATGGCAGAGGAAACTTTGGGATTTCACAGCTTTCTTCCTCCAAAAACTATTTGAAAGCAGATACGAGGAGTGGGAAATACAGAAATAATTCCAGCCTTTGTGCACCTTACAGCATAACGAGTGATGTTCACAGCTGATAAATAATAATAGCAAATACCTGTATAGAACTTACTCTATACTGGACACTTTCCCAAATATTTTGCAACATGTGCTATCTCATGTATTCCACTCAGTAATCCCAGAAGATGGAACTCTGATCTCTAGTTTACAGGTGAGGAAACTGAGGCAAAGCAAGGTTAAGAGCTTGCTCAAGATCTCACAACCAGTAGGTGACAGAACTGATATTTGAACCCAGGAAGACTGGCTTGAGAATCTGACACTTAAACACTATCCTATTCTGCTAACAAATAATGAGCCAGTTGGCAACTGTGGTAAGAGCTGCAGAGACAATGAGAAGATGAGGGGGATTGAGCTGAGTCTGGAGGGTTTTGGGAAGGCTTGCCTGATGAAGTGATGAGGAGTGATGAAAAAGTCAGCCAGGTGAAGGGGCGTGTGTATATGTGCATGTGTGTGCCTGTGTTCCTGTACCCATGCATGTGACATGGTCAGGGAGACACATTTTCAGGACTTGTATAACACACCTCTGTAAATAGCTTCAAAATAAAATATCAATTTGTGATTCTTTTAATGGAAATTTACCTCATGCACAACTTTCAGGCACTGTTTTGTAGAATAATTCAAAGTGATGCTGTCTTTATATATGGCTTTAAGACAGGTTTTGAGCACATATCTCTGTGTGTCTGTGTCCTGCTTTATGGGCAGTAACAAGCTTGGGAATCCTGGAAAGCTGAATTCACATTCCAGCTTTGTAGCCCTGATCATTGCCCAGTTACTTGGGGTTGTGTTCTCTGTCTGTTGATTAATAGAAAATGCATTAAAATGCATAAAATAGAAAAATTATCCCCAATCAGTACAAACATCCACATATCTGAAGGCTTCTATTGCAGGTTCCTGGTAATCATCAGAACTCCTCTAGTGAGACCACTAGGTTATTTCTAGGTTCCATCCCAGAGTCAATGGTCCCTCAAAAAGGAAGTTTTTGCTTACTATAAGCAAAACCAAATAGAATTAGGAGGATCATGGATTCAAGAACTCTAAAGACAGGGTTGAGAAATTAAGTGAGAAGGAGAAAACAGAGGAAGATCTAAACATTGAGATTACACCTCTGCCCAACTTAGTTGTGTTCTAACATTTTAAAAAAGAGATTAACTGGGAAGCAAATAGAAATTAGACTATTTATTAAAAAGCCTTTAGCAGTTTCTCATCAAGTGACACATTTGGTGTTTAGTGTTCCTAATGAGTTGCACTAGGGTTATTTTTACACTTTTGGGCATCTGTGGAGTGGTAAATGTGTTCCTAAATATTAGATATAATTACAATAAAATATGTTTATATAAATTTACTTGGTACCAGATTCAGACTAGTTTTGTTTTAATCAGGGTTTTGAATTATACATGACTTTCATCTCTCTTCACCTTTATCCTCATTAATCAAGAGCTGACTATATCAGGTGTCTGCACTTGAGTGGACCCACTGGATCTCTTTGCATTTTGGTTATCTGATGTGTAAAAATCAAGTCAGCACCCCTATATCGCTCAGGGTATTTGTAGGGATAACATGATATAATATGCAGCAAAGTGGTTTGTATGAATCTGGTATAGGATGGATGCCCAAATGATTTTAATCCTTTTTTTCTTTCCTCCCTCCCTTCCTTCCCTCCCTTTTTACTTACTGCCTTCCTTTCTTCCTTCCTGGCGGTGGGGCAGAAGATAAGGAGACCAAGTCTCAGGTTTGCTACTCAGAGGCTGGTGAGCTTGACTTGATCTTTCTGCTGGTAAAATGAGAGAATTCATTAAATAGATCCCCTAAGAGCCCTGCAAGTTATAAAAGTCTACATTTTCATTTTCTTTGATTCTTGAGTTATACAAGAAAATATTTGACAGTACTTTCAGTTAAATAGTTTCAGTTTTTGCCTGTTTAAAGGAAGGTTGTAGTCTTAACTCTCCACCCCTCTAAACCTGGGAAAGGATTCCCACAAATACAGCTTCACCAAATTTATAGGCTCCCTGCTGAGTTAGCAGAAACCAGGCAACTGAGTGGATGAGCTTCTATTAGTACAGTGGTGTTTGGTTATGCAGCTGAGTGGATGAGCTTCTATTAGCACAGTGGTGTTTGGTTATGCAGCTGAGTGGATGAGCTTCTATTAGCACAGTGGTGTTTGGTTATGCAGCTGAGTGGATGAGCTTCTATTAGCACTATGGTGTTTGGTTATGCAGCTGCAGAACTGGGGAGAAAAGCCTGAGCCAATATTTATGAGGTGTGACTGTGACCTAAACTTTAGAACTAGTTCTCCTAGAGAATGCAGGTAATTATTTTTCTTTTCCTTGGAAAAATAAACAGCCATGTAAGGTAGGCTGAAAAATGGTCCCCCAAAGATGTCCATGGTCTAATCTTGGAATCTGCAAATATGTTAAACTACACAACAAAAGGAATCTTGCAGATGTGATTAAGGGTTTGAGATGGGAGGTTATCTTTTATACTAGGGAGACAGGAGAGTCAGAGTAAGCAAATTGTGACAGAAGCAGAGAGACAGACTTTTGAGGATGCTACACTGCTGGCCTTGAAGATGAAGGGTGGGGCCATGATTCAAGGGGTGTGGGCAGCTTTTAGAAGCTAGAAAAGGTAAGCTGAACTCTCTCCTAGGGCCTCCAGAAGGAACTCAGCCTTGCCAACACCTTTATTGTAGCCTGTAAGGCATATTTCAGACTTTTGAACTACAGAATCGTGAGATAATAAGTTTGCATTGTTCTGAACCACAACATTTGTGGAAATTTGGTATAGCAGTGATAGGAAACAAATGTACCATGGCTACCAAAGTAAAAACCCTACATTTTGAAACATTTATTATTTCTCCAAATAAGTCTGGATGAACAACTCTAAGGATGGAAGAATAATTTTACCTATTACAACCTGGTAGTTGGAGAAAAGACTTGGTGAGTGGAGGTGATCTAGACCTTCCAACAGGTAAGAAAACCTCAAAATTGCTAGTTCTTGTGACATCCCAGGTAGGCCACAGTAGACATCTCCATTCAAGGGAGTTACTGAATTATAAAGGTGAAAATTGGTTAAAATTGGCCTATTTCCTATGGAAGTATTCATAAACGATTCAATTTCAGGTCTATTTTTTCTTTCTACTCTAGGAATATGGCCACAATTGACTGAGGAAGGGACATGAATAAGGTAGTATTGATAGGAGATATGAAATAATTCTCTACTGAGTTCAGTAGAGAGTTAATCCCACTTTTCTATAAAATTAATATAATTTCTCTCTCTCAGTAAAGGGATGGCTATTAACAATAGAGCATTCCATATGTGGAACAATAGAGATCAACTATGCACAAAAAAATTGGCAATGGATGGACGTTGGATAGCTTTCAATGGGGCTTTTCCTCTCAGGTTTCAGTCAAATTTTGCTGTAAGTTAAAAGAGAAACCCTATTATAGGTCAGGTTCTAGGGGGTTGTATGCCCATACTGACTACTTACTGGCTGTGGGGCTGCCCCATGGGAAATTGCTTTATTTGGGGTGAGCCAGCTCCCTTCTGTTGAGGGTAATGCCTAGGGAGGGACTCAGCTGTGAACCAATGGCACCTGGAACATCCAGGCAACTGGAGAAATGAGTGCCTCAAAGTGGGTAGCTGGAAGGAGCTGGTAGGTGTACTCCAGGGTTCTTACAGACCCCTGGATGCGTGTACATAAAGGCAAAGCAGAGACATGGGATCAGCATGAAATAGAGCCCTTAATTGGGTTCCAGAAAGATAGATTTAGAGGTTCTATGCCACTGGCTTTGCGAAAGTTACTTGGTCAATTCATTAGTTCCATTGCTCTCTAGGTTTCAGTTGAATGACCTTTCCATTGCTTCTATATCATGATGATGGTGAAAAACAGAGAATTAGAATAGTTGAAAGTCAAAGATAAGCCTTATTCTAAATCTAGTTTTACAACTTTGTTGAAAAACATCTTCAGATGCATTGTTACCTTCACCCTCTTTAAACATTTCCATCTCTACCTTTTTTGGGATTTACCCTGATGGAAATAGTATTAAGGCAAAGTAATTGTGCAAAGTTGGTGGCAAAAAGGAAAATAAGCACAATTAAAGGACTTGGATTCAGTGAACCATATGTTTGTGGAACCTCTACTGGGTTCAGACAAAATATATATATTCAACTATTTATTTTAGATGATAGAATATCTAGAGATTAAGTAATCTACTTTTTAAACAAGGGTAGACATTGGACTAATGGTACATTTTTAAAAGGCAGGAGTTTTTATTTGGAAATACTTTATCCCTACAAATTACTCTTAGTTTGTTACTGTTGGTGAAAAAATTATCTTCCTCTAATAACTTAAGCAACATTGTGAGAACTACTGAAGGTAGATTGTAGCTTAATTACATGAAGTTACCAGTCTTTC